ACACACACACACACACACACACACACACACACACACACACACACACACAGCTATCCATTTGGGGACATTCCATTGAGAGCAGGGATAATCTGGCTGCCTCGAGTCAGCTGTTTTCCTCCTCTTAGGATTCAGTGCAATCTGTTGACAGTTTGTTTTCTGGTTTAATCATATTTGGACAAACCTGCTCTTTGTAGCAGCTGGACTTTCAGGTGCAGTTCTTTCTACATAATGGGAGATCTGTAAGCTTTCACATTTTCTAGGAGTAGTAGGTTAACCACTTAATCACTTAGCCAATGAATGGCCAGTAGATCTGTGGACCATCCTAAAGTGCAATTAAATATCTTGTCATTAATGTGAATTATCTCCACCATAAAGTTCACAGCTGGTTGTTTTTGGTTGTCAGAACAGTTTTCACACTAAGCTCATACTTAGGATACCAATTTAACGTTAAATAACTTAACAGAACATCCTTTAGTTGATTTGAATCTACTGAAAGCAGACGTTTTAGAAGGAACCCTCTGACATTCTGCATTGTCTGCTTATTTAAGTTTTTCCTTAATTGTATTAAATCAGTAGAAATTTTAGCTAACTGATGTGGACTGTCAGAATAGTTAAGAGTTTACCTTCAAAGTTCCTAAAACAAATGAGTCGTATGTTAAACCACAAACTCAACTTTCTGCTTAAAACTACCTACAGTAAGTGTTTTATAAATGTTATCTTAATGTTGGCACAATTAAGTCTGGTTTATAGTTGATCCGTCGCACCGGGCACGAGGGGGCGCGTGCTAAAAGTGACGCAATCATGCCATCCCCGCCCCTATGCATTGGCCCCGCGCGGCGTCCCGGCGCGTGGTCATGCACCTCCGAAATTTTAAAACTCTGCAAAGTCTGTACACGCCGCGCACCTTTCAAAGAGCTTGTTTGTTCGTCACGCCTTTGCTGTTCTATTTACAACATTTCACAAGTTATAAAGTGTACTTCCACGTGTCCTTTTGGAGAAACCTACAACAATGTAAGCGCCAAGTATAAACGCCTCCGCCGCTGGCGAGGATGCGCATGCGCCCTCCGCGACTACCCAAAGCGCGACTGATTGTAACCATTTACTTTAAACAGTTAGAGAACAAATAAGTCTTCATTTAGATTAACACATCTAAAGAAAACATCTTTCCATTACTGATGTAGAAGGGATCACCCCTCAGGAGGTGTGACCAGGTTTTGTATAACCATTGTAAGGACACATAAGCTCGAGGCCATTTACTGAGACTCCAGAACAGGAGACTTGGAGTGAAATGGTCCACAGTGATGTGATGTGATCAGCTTTATATAGCTGCAAATATATACCAGTCTGACAACTAAATCAGTTGCTTGTGTGTAATTTGGGCTTTTAATCAAACATGTGTCTAACAGACTTATAAAATGTGTTAAAATCCCACAGCTTGGCCTGTCATGATAAATTTTGCTGGACAATAAATTGTCTTGGAAATTATTGCGATAAAAGATACAATTTTGAGACTATTTTAAACTAATAAAATGATATCCTCCCCGCTTACAAAGCATATGGAAGTTTATGAAAGTTACGTATGTAAAACAAAGTTATGAACTGACCTCAACAGGAGATTGGGAAAACAACACACACAGCAGCTACGGAAGCTGTAAAATCACTTCCCATCTCCTCTATCCAATCACAGTTTATTCTGTTTGTGTCTTCCTCTGGCTTCATAAAATATCTGCTGTCACACTCATGCTGCTTAAGAAATTTACAGAAGTTTACAAAATATACGTAAAGTTATGGGTGAACCTGAAGCTGAGTTTGTGAAAACAGCACACAGCTACAGAAGCTGTAATCTCACTACCCACCTCTATCCAAGCCGGCACAATTTATTTAGTATGTCTTCCTTTGTCTTCATAGAATAATTTCGGTCACACGTGTGCTGCTTACGAAATTTATGTAGTGTAAACAAACAACCCTCTGCAAACCCAATGTTTGGCACAGCGCCCCTGAGGGTGTCTTCAGGCGTCGCCAGCTGAAAGAAGGCATTGGAAAACTGAAGATACTCCTCTAGCTAAATGCCTGTTCACGGGGCTCTTATGCTACAGAGCTTATGAGGTCAGCGCCTAGCAAATACCTGATGCGAGAGCTCAGGCAGGCAAATCAAAAGGATCAAACTCATTTTAATTTATCGTGTGTTTAAATGATTTATTGATTATGTCAGCTTACTAGGGGTGTAAATCACCAGCTTTATCACGATACGATATTACATGGATATGTTTGGATGACGATTCATTATTTCTCAATCACAAAGTCTGTCATGATACGATTTTGATTCAACTGAATTCACATGTCTGCGATCGATATAATGCGCTATCATATGCCCATCTAACACAATGACCGTGTTAGATGATATCGATTCACGTTGAGCATATGATGACGATATAGATCAATATTTTCATTTTGCCTCGATACAACTGAATCATGAACCGTTCAAATCGATATATCGATATAGATCGAAGTATTGTTACACCCCTACAGCTTACACAGACTGACTCATTCAGGTTTTACTGCCTCACTTGGTGGCTCAAAGGCATAACAGCAGTGGGTTGACTTGAACCGCCCATGTCGCTTTGGTACTTTCATAAATTGCACCAAAATGACAAGAAATCTCCACAGGCCTATCTTGACAGTGTTTTGGCAGTGTATTATGAAGTTGTGTTTTTAAATAAGTTTGGGCATTTAGATGAGATTTGTTGAAGAAAAGTCCAAATTTGCTGGAGTCTGGCCATGACTTGGGAACCCAGAATGTTGATCCGTTTGTTAATCAAATTTAATGATTTCCCATCAATAGTTTGCATATCATTAGTGAACTTTTAAAGTTGATTTATGTTACAGATATTCTTAAAATCTCATTTTACTCAGAGCTTATTATTGCTTCATTGCAGTCAGTTTAAAACAAAAATGGCTACTTTTGCACTTTTTGATACCTGCCTTTAGTGTCAGTTCGGCATGGCAATTAAATATCAATAAAATAAATGCCAAACAGTTTCACATGGGAAGAAAATACACTTGCCATTTTTTGTGCTTGAACTTGAATGTCTATAGTGGAACAGTAAATTTGAAATGGAGGTTATGTCTGCAAATGCACAATCAATTGTTTTGTTTTTCTTGACCTCTCTTGTAGAACACATCACAGATTTTCCCCCCAACCAGCGGAGGTGCTGAGAAAATGTGTGCAGACCTTAGTCTACCTCTGCTCGGTAAGGTGCCTCTAGACCCAAGGATAGCACGGAGCTGTGACGAGGGCCGGTCGTTCCTCAGCGAAGTCCCTGACTCTCCTGCAGCCAGAGCCTATCAAACTATTGTGCAAAGTAAGTCTATTTTCCAAGTCTGTTTGTGGTTTATTTCATAATGTTGTGGATTTGGTTATCTAGGGAAGTTGAATGTGAACACAGTCATGCGCATTTTTCTAGTGAAGCCCCATTATAATTTTTGATGACTTTATCGTTTAGTGTGCCTAGATCCTGATTAAATGGAATGAAAGAAGAAGTATTCACTTCTCAAATAGGAAGCAGTCAACTTAAGAGGAAGAAGAGTTGGATTAAAAAAAAGTTCAGAATGATATCAAGCCAGTGGGTTTTGAGTGTCTGAGGAAATTAAATGTCATTTATAGAATCTAAGCACATCCATCCTCTTTGTGCTGTCTGCCAGGTATCCAGGACTACTGTTCTAACAGAGTGACAGAGACGCAGAGCACAAACTGACCCCCACACCCCATCCTGCTGGGACTGAGAAAACGGAGACAAGAGTGTGGTAGAAAACTGAATCACAAACACACAGAAGAAAACTCAAAGGGTCCAAATCAAAAATGACTCTCAAATTAGCTTTGATACATATTTATTATCTTTGTAGTGTGAGAATGGAGCACTGGGGCAACAGAAACTTGTAATTATCAAGATAGTGATCAGTTTTTTTTTTTCTTATTTTCTGATAATTCCTAATTCAGAATGAACAAGCTGGATGCAAGGTGACCTCTTATTCTTTGAAAATATTTTCTGTTTGTGAATCTTTAGTTTAGGAACACAAATCCAATTTCTGCTTTGTGTAGAAAACAGCCCAGAGATCAGATTTACACATCACACCAAGTTTGCTCTTATATCATTTCTCATCACCTGCTTATGAAGTTTTTTTTTCTTACAAGTCTCTTGATTTATAATAAACATATCAGCAACAACATATCATTTTCATAGTTTTTATTAATGCATTTTGATTATTTAAATGACGTGGTAAAATAAAAGATCGATCAAATGTGACAAAAATATTAGTGGAACATTTGCACTTTTTTTGACAGTCTGTGTTAGCATGATTTCCTCTGTGTGTGTGAGTGTGTGAGAGAGAGCGAGAAAGTGTCATATGTTCTTTTGAAACAGACACAGTTCCCTCAAGATTCTAGAAAAACTCATGTGAAACTCTGTGACCTGCTAAAACAAATGTAGCTGCAGTCACAGAGCCCTGAATAAAAGTATGCATCTCTCCCTGTAAGTGTCATGTAGTTGCACACTTAGGCGTGTTATAATAGTTGTAGATCTCTAAAATTGCTCAATAATTTAGTTGAAAATTAATCTTTATACCTATCTTAAAACTGTCTTTTTCACTATGGTCTTACTATTATTTACATTTTTTTATCAGCAAGAAATAAAACAAAATTTAAAACCTTGCTTTGAAGAAATGCACATTGCTCACTACCTTGTTGCCAGGGTTGTAAGCTAAGATTGTCTCATTACGGCAAGTGATGGAATCATAGCTGTTTTGATCAAACATAAAATAGCAAGATCTCACGAGATCAGCTAGCACCTGGAATATGTTTTGGGGTTGACGCTCAGCTACTACCATGTCGAACTGTAGCCTAATTTCTGCGAATTTGTCAAAGTTACAGTCATTTTTGTGTTTGCTAATGTGGAGTAGCAGTGGCAGCCATCTTGAACTGGGAAAGTTGTATTAAAATCCGTTTAGTGGTTCAGTTTGCAAACACGTGCACACACACACACAGATATGGACAAAACATTGACACTTTGCCTTTGGTAACAGGATATAACTAAAAGATTTACATGGTTGAAAATGACATGAAACACATTGTTAGGCCTAAATAAATCAGTCCTGCTAAATTAGAAGCCAAACTAACAACATGTAGACGTAGCTGTTATGGTTTGCACTCACAAAAAAACCTGGACCAACATCATTAAAAAAAAAATCTTCGCCCTCAAGCTTTTTGTCTTTTGATGGCTAACACAACCTCAACTAACTTAGTTGTGCTGCAGTTTCGCTTTGTTGTAAAACCAGCAGAACTTGTTTTAACAGAAACACTTGGCATGCCTGCGTGGCATTTAAAATTTAACCAAACCAGTTACCATCTCTCTTCATGTGTATCCTTTCAGCTTGTTGACACCCTTTTGTATATTTACTTCTGTCTGGAAACCAGAGGAGAAAATTGATTTGTCTCTTCATGTGTATTTATCTTTAAATAAATATTTTTGTGTATAAAATGCAGTGCTCTTTATAAAAAATATGTCTGGTTTTATTTAAGGAAGTGTAACTATTTTGCTTAGATCCTGTTAGTCTGTGAAAATCCCTAACTGAGACATTGCGTCAAATCGATGTCTCTGTCCTTGTGTTGAGACGATATGAACAGTCAAACGGTTCATTTTAGGAAGTCTTTGACCTAAAACATATTTTATAATTTTAGAGTCTTTAGTGTGAAGCTGCAGTCAAGATAATGAGTTAGTCCTCCAAAGAATCCAGTCAAAAATAAATGTAAAATAATGTGTGTGCGTGTGTGTGTGTGTACAATCAGTGTTTTATTGTTTGTGTGGTATTCTGACGCAGAATTATCATCTCTTTGTTGATTGTCCACACATACAAACATGAAAACTCACTTCCTTTTTTGACTAATATTCATGAGAAAAACGCTGCCGCCTCCCATCATTTCTACATACTGTCGCAGTTTTCAACCAGACCTCCCATTCAGCCACAAACATGCCTCCTCCCTCTATAAGAACGCCTTCTGATCCAAACACTGTCCCTTTAACTAATATATATATAT